TAACCGATTGCGCGGGCAGACGTTAGTGCGTAAGATTTGTAGAGTGTAATACAAAGAAAAATGGCGATGGCAACAACTCAAGTTAAAGGAAGCGGATGGCCAAGAAGAGCCAGTAACAGTTCGTTTGAAGGGAAAGTTGTACAGAACCAGTCTGTAACTATCAACAGGACAGTTAACTTGTAAGTGATAATCAATATGTGACTTAATTACATTATTTTTTAGAGTTAATGTTTTGACTGCCTCTCCTGTAGAACAACTATGGCCGGTTAAGAGACGCTAGCAATTAAAATTATGTTCCTAACACCTTTCAATGCATCTTACATGGTACAACCATGAGACGGCTGTTCATCTTTTCGTTAAGTACACATGGAAATTTTAAGCAATATTTCATTGAAATCATTATTATTAAAATCATTATTGATTAATGATTTAATAATTTATTTTTGCTTATATTTATTTTGAAACATAATAACATAACCAATTATTTTAAAATGCCATGAAAATTTTCATGTAATAAAATGTTTTCTATAAATTATTTTCTCATAATTCATTATATATATATCATTGAATTAAAAATGAATTAAATATATGATTTTTTGCTTAAAATTCCCAAATATAGAATAAAATGATGTCTTTCGTGCTTTATTTGCACAAAATATAAGCTTCTGATTATAAAGAAGTTAAAGACATTTAATTTCCATTAAATTATATTTATACTTACCAAAATTATAGCCATCGTATATAATGTACATTGGCCTCTTTTATACATTGAATGTATGTTTGCGTATGAAAATATGTTTTGTTATTTTTTAGTCACAATAATAATGTGACTCTTAATTTATAATGCGTATATATTTGAAGAAATAAATATATTGTCATAGTTTATTGTTTTTCATATACTAATTATTTTGATATTATGTATAGAAAAAAAATATATAAAGCAAACAATTTTAAAAATTATAATCTAAGATTATATATCTCTTAATAGATAAAATTACAAATGTTTATATTTTTTTTATTAGTAAAATGAATTTTTATGTAAGATAAATTTTGCAAAATAACATTTTTTTTATATCCAAATTATCATAAATGTATTTGTTATAAATAATTCATAATTGTATTTATTTGTTATACTTTTAAGAAATCACATAATGTGCACAGATATTGTGAATATTTTAAATAATCTTTTATAAAACGAAATTTTAATAGAATATTACATTTGAGATTTATATCTTTTATTTACTGCGACATTAATAATGTTTTAAAAATGAAACAACATACTGAAGAATGTAACATATTTATTATATAAATATATTTGTTTACAAGATATCATTTATAAGTGAATAATAAACTCAGATTATATAATGTAAAGAATTAATTGTATAGGTATAAGTATCTTAATTACTTATTTATATTTTGATATTTGGCAAGTTTATAGTTATATAGTGTTTAAAGATATTATTAAAAATTATTACAACATATTTATTTGGTACAAAAATTGTTGTGATTTATTCATATATAATTTATAAATTACAATATGTCAATGCATATGTCACAATATATTACATAAAAAAAATTTTTTAAAAAAGATAAATACATGTACTATATATTTCTAAACAAATAATATAATACATTTGATTACTTATAATTAATGTAAACATGTAATATTATAAGTAATATAATGATTTATACAAAACATTTATATTTAATATTTTGTATTTTATATGTAAGTGATTATTACATATGAGATTTTTATGTAGAAATTTAGTTTTCAAACAAAAATTTAACTTGTTACTTGATAAATTGATAAATATTATTAAATAACATTGTATTTGTAAATCATACAAAATTATCAATTCTAGCACTTATTTACAATTTTATTATACATGTGTGTATATATATAAATATATATATATATATATATATATATATATATATACATTTTTTTTATTCAATGTATATACATTTTTAAATATAAAAAAATATCAGTTATAAAATGATTATTTTCATATTATAAAAGAATCTTTGTATGTTATTCCTCTTGCTTGCATGAGCACAAAATAATATTTTTTGTCTTGTCATTATATAAAAATGTGAAAATTAATATAAGGTTTGCTGGGGACAAAATTATATGTTCAGACTATCTAGTGCATTGTGAGTACCTGTATAATCTTTATCATTATATATTGTAATATTTGTGAAAGTGATGTTGAAGAGACTGGATTTAGTTACTGAAGGATTGCATAAAAAGTAAGAACCTAACACAAAAATAAAACTCATTTATCATAGATATCCTTTGACAAACTATACATTTGGAACAAAAGAGCCACTCTTCGAGAAAGATCCATCTGTACCAGCAAGGTTTCAGCGTATGCGAGATGAATTCGATAAAATTGGAATGCGTCGCAGTGTTGAAGGGGTTTTATTGGTACATGAACATGGATTACCACATGTTCTCCTGCTCCAATTGGGAACAACTTTCTTCAAATTGTAAGTATTATTGTGATATCAATTAAGTATATGTGAAAACTCAAAGGATGAATTCAAAATTTATGCAATGAGAAAATTATTAGAATTATTAAATTAATCATTAGATTATTAGATATCATGGGATTTTATTTAATTTTTATTTAAATAAAAATTTATTTAAATTTTATTTTATTTAATTAATTTTTAGTTTTCTCATATCTCTAAACTTGATTATAAAAAATTTATTAAAAAATATAAAAATATTTATATATTTTTATTTATTATTTTTTAGACCTGGTGGAGAACTAAATGCAGGAGAAGACGAGGTAGAGGGCCTGAAACGGCTCCTTACAGAGGTAACAGTTAGCACGAAGCCTTATGCTACCTTATATGGTAGCTAGGAGTGGCACTTTGATATGTTAGATTATAACACTGTTTAAGGATCAATTGTATTATTCCTACAGATATTTGTAGAACTTATGTAACCGGGCCTGTAGCTCAAAATAGGGAATTTTATTAAATTAATTATATTAGTATTTATATTTTTAGTGTGCTGCATGCCCGGACATTTCAATGTTTATAGTTATGAAATTATAATTTTTTACGTTATACAAATCATGGTTAGCTAAGAACATTGTTCTTGTGTCACTCGCTATATGTTATTCAGAAATAGAAGAGGCAAGACATGAAGATTGTAATACTATGATAAGAAGATTGTATTTTATATATCATTATCAATTTTTTGTTGTAATTCATTGAAAAGATAAAAAGTACTTAAAATATTTAGGATTATGATTTTTCTTCATATAACAAATAGGCAGTTTTTTAGATTTTATATTTACTAATTTGTCAAATTTTTGATTAAAATGATAAACGTATGTACAACAGCTGTTTCATTTAATTAGGTATCTGTAAGTAAAAAAAATCGGAAGTATTTCTATAAATACTTTTAATCTATATACATTATATAGAAGGAACATAGTAGGTAATCATTGATCAAGTTAAATTGTTACCCGAATAAAATTATATACCCATCTTAAATAATGTAAACAATGTACATATGTCAAAATTATGTAACCATGTTCTTAGTGAACTGAACGAAGAAGATTGTATTTTGATGTATACACAGTATAGTAGAATTGGGAAAGAGAGAAAGAAAAAGAAAAATAACTGATACTATAATATTAAAATAATTTTCAGACCTTTGGGCGTCAAGATGGTGTTAAACAGGAATGGGTAATAGAAGATACCATTGGAAATTGGTGGAGACCTAATTTTGAACCACCTCAGTATCCTTATGTACCACCACATATTACCAAACCAAAGGAACATAAAAGGTTGTTTCTTGTGCAACTGCAAGAGAAAGGTAATATATCTTTTATTTATAATTATTATTCATGATTAAAAATATATACCATAAAATAAAAAATATATTCCCATATTGAAATGTAACAAAATCCAATATTATAATATAATTATTTTTATATTTTTTAGCTCTATTTGCAGTACCAAAAAATTATAAATTAGTAGCTGCACCATTATTTGAATTGTATGATAATTCACAAGGATATGGACCTATTATTTCCTCTCTACCCCAATCTCTTTGCAGGTAATTATTATATAGTAAATTTTTAATTGAATTTATATCTAATCATTTTTTAAAATTATTTTATTTTATATGTTGCAGATTTAATTTTATCTATATGTGAAAGAAGAAATAAGTGAGAAAGTAATTTTATTTAAGTTAACAGAAATAAACTATTATAAATACAGTATGTATGAGATGATGAGTGAAACTGCAAAAAACCCTGTGTTCTATGTATAATATAATATGCACTAAAAATTAAATCATTTTTTAAGTAGTACTTATATAATTCATTAGCACTTTTAATTTACATTCCTTATAATCTTATTTCATACTAATAATAATAATTTATAATATTATTCGTATATCAATTATAATCTAATTTAAATTTTTGTGATATTTATATTTATTCATAAGATGTACATAGATATACTTTGCCATTTACATATAATTGTGAAATGTTTTAGTTTTATATTATAAAATCTATTATAAAAAATTTATATATATATAATACATGATAATTATAATTATATATAAGATTATGATAAAATTTATGAACTTCGATATTATAGAGATAAAATTTATGATTCATAACAAAAATTGTTAATATTAATTATTATAATTTTAATAAATAAGCATCAAACGCGATTTTTTTGTATACAATTTTTATATTTGTTTTGATCTTTAGAATTGACTTTTCAAAATATCTTATGAATATTAATACTTCGTATAATAATATATGATATAAGAAAAATAATTTATAATAATATTTGTAATAGTAATATAGTAGTATTCTATATATTCTAAAAAATGATATATGTAGTTTTTTAATATTTATTTTAATAACGTTATACTCTATTTTTTATTAAAAATCAAATATTTTTAAGTAAAAAAAAAAATTACGAAAATTTATCTTTATAATTTATCTTATTTATATCTATAAACTTATGGTTTGAACCGCCATTTTGTATTTAGCAAAGATAGGAACACATGTTCTTATTTACTTGACATTCGAGAATACTAGACATTCATTTGAAATGTTAGAAGATTACGTTTAATATAACAAGAAAGCATATATATTAATATACAAAATGACACAAAATGAATCAATCATGACAAAGGTACTTGTATGAATAATAAACTTTTATATATTTTTATTTCAATTAATAAAATTATCTTATCTTAACCTGTATTTATAATTATTAAATATAAATTAATTTTTTCATATATTAGATACAAAAAGTAGAAGATACATTAAATGAATCTATGTATAAATTAGATATGCTGACAAAAAAACTTAAGACAAAATTACTCACAATGGAAACTCGTGAAGAGTTGGAAACACAATTAGAAGAAATTAAAGAGGTACTTAAAAAGAACGAAGAAAAATTAAAAAAATTAAGAAAACAGAATACAAAATCATTCATGATAGCAGCAAGCATAATTTTTGCATGTTTTCTGCTTTATGGATTATATTTAATGTTTTATGGAACAATATAAGATTTTTATATTATATTATATTTATATTTTTTGTAATTTTATTATTTGAAAAATATTATTTTCTATATAATCTGAATTTTATATTAATATGAAAAATTTTTTATACATTGCTATTTTGTATTACATTATCAATTGCTAACATTTGAAACATATATTTTCTTATAAATCAAAAAAATAATTTACTTTACAGCAATATATTAATTTTTTTTTATTAATATTATATGTTCAAAATTTTTTTAATTCATAATCAAATATAAGTATAAGCATAAGATAACAACATAATTTTTTAATAAGACTGATATGGCAATATGTTTTATTTACATTGCATAAACGAATTAATTTCATAATATAAAATATAATTATCTTATTATATAAGTAGTAAAAAAAAAATTTTAAATTATTTATATTACATTATTTGTTTTTACAACAAATTTACAGTATTTAACTGAGAACAGTTAAGTTATTGAAGCATTATGTTATATTTTAATTTATGAACATATGAAGGGTAAGTTAAAATTTATTAATCAGTAATCAAGTCATATTGTGGAGTTCCAGCACGACGACTTTGCATGTATTTAGCATGTATTTCAGTATCAAGATAATTAGATCTAATAGCAGGATTTTCTTTCATGGCAGATCTCCATTCCAACTGTAATTTTAAATAAAAGATTAGAAATTTAATATTTATATATTCTAATATAGTTTGTGCAGAACAAGTTCATACTACACGTTTACTAAATATTTTACCAGTCTTTTAAATCTATCATGTGGTATAGTAAATTGATCTCCACGTAGCATTTTAATTGTATTGGATCTTTCCCACCATGGCCATATCATAAAGTCTAACATGCCAGGAGAATTACCATGAAAGAATGGTGTACCTCTTGATGCAAGTTCTCTTTCAAAAAGTTCCAATTCTGATAAAGCTTCATCAAATATATCTTGATCTATAGATGTATTAATAAACAACTGAAAAATAAATATTTATATTTTAATTCTAATATATTATGTTTGTATTTTATAAATAAATTTTATGTATGAAAAACAAATACCTTATACATAGTATTTATAACAGAATTAAATCTACCAATTAATAATTTATCCTTAGCTTTAGCTAGAGGATCATTAGGATATAGTTTGTTTTGTGGATATGTATCGTCCAAATATTCAGCAATTACAAGACTTTCATATAATATTTCTCCTCCTTCTAATTCTATACATGGAACTTTACCCAAAGGACTTTTTTCTAGTAGCCAATCAGGTTTATGAGTCAAATTTACATAAACAACATCGTGACTATAATAAAAAAAAAACTGCATTTACTCGTGAGATTTTAAAATAATTTACGAATAAAAATAAAAAAAATAAAATAGATGAGTGTCCTATTTAAATTAAATAAAATGTGTTCTTAAAATATAAAAAATTAAATTATAATTTTAAAATGTTAATTCACTTACGGTATATGTTTCGCATCAAGTACTAAATGAATTCTTTGGGCATATGGACAAAATCGCATACTATACAAACGTATTTTTCCAGGTACAATGGGTGGAGCAACTGATCCTAGAAAATAATAAAATAAAAAGAATTATTTTTTAATTATATCAATATTAAGTTTTAGTAATATAATCTTACCGATAGTCAAATGTTTAGAACTCATTTCAATGGTATAATCAATAAGGAACTTCTAAGAATTGTTCGGATCAATTGCGGAAATATTCTTTTACTATGAATAATATTTCACATTTTCCTGCAACCTAAGTGGTCCAAGAAATATTGATGATCAAAGTTCTCCAGCTTCAGGTTATATATCTGTTTTAATAAGGATTACAATTTCTTCAAAATTTAATATCTAAATATAACTTTTTTATTATGCTATTTATTTCTAAAATCATCTTAATTATGATAATCAAAATATGATTATTACTAACTCTAATCTTTTTTCATTTTTTTCTAAATATTTTGGAGAATTTTAAATTTATAAAAATTAAAAACTGAAGGTTAGATTTAAATTTGACAACTTTTAAAAAGAAAAATTCTAGTATTTAGGGAAAAAATTTCAAAAAATTTGTTTAATTAGAAATTATGAAAAGTTTTGATATCAAGTTATCAGTTCAATATAAAATAAAATTACAATATTAATAATGATAGTAAAATTAAAATTTAATATGACATTATAAAGAAAATATATGATAGAATATATAGGTTTATATGATCTTATAAACCTATATTTTTTGGTAGAATTAACATCCGAAAAATATATTATAGTATATTAGTAGTTAAATTAAATATTGTGATTTTTTTTTATTATGATTTAAGTATTCGCATTATATATGATAAATAAGATTAATTATCTTCTTGAAATTTAAATATTATATCATATTATATCAAAATTTCAAAGCAGCATAAATTAGAATTATAAATTAATAAATAATAATTAGAGAATCATTTTTTGATATCTTTGAAAAAAATATTTTTGTTATTTAAGAATGCTCAAAAAATGATGTTAATTTTTAATTTATTATTCTATCTTATCTTGTCTTTCAAAAAATATCTTTAAAATTAAAGAGATGGCGTTAACGATCAATTTTTTTTTGTTCAATCATTGCTTTTCTTATTTATATTTGTTTTTAGTATGTAACTACAAATGAGATAGGGAATATTATTTGAACATACATTTCTCTTTCAAAACTATGATGTATCTTAATGTAAAAAATATATATATTACTTTACAATCTATCTTTAAGATGATAATTTTGCAAAGTAGAGTATATTTTAATATATTTTAATATAAAATATGACGCGAATATTTTTCCCTTATAAATCATATAATTTTTATCTTATTTTATTTTACTCGTTTTTTGTGAGATATGTAAGATATATACATATCTTATTATATATATATCTATATAGGAAAGCATTTATTAGAGAAAATTTTAAATATATTTGAAATTTAACAAGATTTTTTTTTACTTCAATTAATTGTATCAATTTTTCTTCATTAGATTGAATATAATTTTTAAATTCTATTTTAAATCGTAAATAAAAATTTTTGATTTTTTGCATAGTTAATAATTCAAAATATAGAAAATCTATAAGACGATAAGTTTATATTATTCTATCTTTCATCTATGATTGAATTTTTTAGAATAGAAATTTCTTTTTTTTTTTTCAAAATTGCAAATTTAATCATTCAATTGGTAAATCTTTTTGTATTTGTTGATGTACATTTTTTATTAGTTATTATTGATTAGTTAAATCGAATGTAATTCTTAATTATAATTTAAAAATTTAAAAAGTCTTAAAAGAAATTTTGATAAAGTAAAAAAATAATTTAATTTGATTGAGTAATACATAATAAAATAATCTAAGTGTAATTTAAAAAAAAGTAGCAAAAGAAGTTCAAATATAATATAATAATTAAAATAATACAAATCATTCATATATTTTTTTAAAATATTGCATGCAACGCGATATGCAAACTGTTAATATATTCTTAAAATAATATAATCATGGATATCTTTGGAGAATCTAAAAAAAATAAGTATAATTGGTATTAATAAATTTTATAATCTTAATAAATTTTTTTATTAGAAAAAATTGACGTTTGTGGAAAACGAAATTAGATTTAATAAAAAGATATTTATTTCTATCTTTATCTAATATTTATAAACTTCAATTGTTTATAATTTAATAAATAAATTTTAATCAATATTTTTGCATATTAATTTTTTTATTCTAAAATTGATCTTCCATGAATATATTAACATTGTATAACGATTCGAAAAATATACAAATACTACGTAATACTACGTAATACAAAATAAATTTAATGATTGTAAAATAGAATTATTATATTATAATCATTAAATTATTTTGCACGAAATAATTTAAATGTGAGCTTTAGTGATCATACTTCGAATGGCTCTATTCTATGCCATGTCGTAATGTAGGATATCCCCTCCAGAAGGTAGATGGAGAAGTCAAACTATCGGTGTGCTTCTTTTTACCTGACCGCCAGTCACAATTTCAAATTATCCAGGACGAGTTGTGAGCTTTTTTCGTCGCGCGTGTTTCCACGACAGCGTGATGCATTCTCGCGGTACATTTTTATTTCTTTGTTATTCGTTTCTGATGATAAACCATCATTGTTGCGAGGAAAATGTCACTAGTGTTACGGAAGAAAACGCGTTAGCGAAATTAGTAAAAATGTTTTCAAAACCCGGGGCATTCAAACGAGTAAGTTTCAAAAATTACATATCTTTTTCAATATTGTTGAAAATATAGGATATTGTAAAAAATATTGGAAAAGAAAATTTTCTCTTTTGAAAAATAGTAAATTTTCACATAACAGATGCGATGTTTGTTTGAGCGAATATAATTATAATTATAATGATTTTATAATGATTTTTTCTTCTTTGTTTTTTTCATAAGCAAAAATTTTGAAATAAAAAAATTCGAATTCGATAATTTTTATTCCTTTTTTAGATTAAGTTTAATTCTTTACATGAATGTACGTTAAAATATGCATATATAAAAGCAAAGGTTAACGAAGTTAAAAATATCAACAATTCTCGTTGCGCAACGAAAATTGTAATCAAGGAATATCTATGTACATGATTTGAAACAATTAATGTTTTAAAGTTCTAATAATTATAAGAATGTCATATCTTAATATTGTGATATAAATTTATCAAAATTAAAATTAATTTTTTATTTACATCTTATCAATTTTTTTATAATTTCAGTGTTACGTAAAATCAATATTTGAAAATTGTGAAAAAGTACAACGTATATTATATACTTTGTATTCTCAAATCCAATGAAGATGTCCAATTGACTTTCAGATTAACGCAATACTCGGTGAAAATTCGATCGAAGAATCTTTCACGTCTTGTCCAAAAGGCGAGGAAGGCCTCGAATGCAGAAGAGCTGAGGCCAGGCGATCCGTCGACTGTCCTCAAGGTAATCATACAAGGATTTCAAAACTTTATGTGCATATATGTATAAAAATAATACATAAATAAACGAATATAAAATTAATATATTAAAAAAAAAATAAAATATTATTTTTGCATTCCAGTCAGATAATCTTAATTGTATATTACAAATAAACACACGACTTTCCGCGATGTATAATAGAGATTCTAACCTTGACATAGCCACTCCCAGACATTGTTTGCTCATGTTAAATGCACACGATCACACGAGAGCATTAATGTATGAATTAGATCTATCATTCAATTGAACGAAACATTATTTTTCGCATTTTATTATATTTGATTTAAATGTTTTTAATTTACGTTTAAATGTATTGATATGTAATATAATAAATCATTTTCTCGGGAATAATGCCAATTGGGAAACAGTTTTTACTTTGAAAAATATGAATATAAATAGCAAGATAATTGGAATTTATACGGATTAATGAAAAAAATAAATTCTGATGATTCTTTAATTAAAAAAATATTAAGGAAAATTTAATGGCTAGTAATAAATAGAAAAAACGAAGTGTTGTAAAGCATAATTCAATGCATATATATTGCATAATGCTGCAAAATATGAAATATTGCATTATACATATATATTTTTGAAAATATTTAATTAATCATTACTACAATTGTACTATTGTATATTTATAAAAAAAATAAAAAAGAAAAAAAAAAGAAAATAAAAATCATTCATTTTTCTTTTGCTTAAAAATATTTTTTATCTTTAATTAATGATTTATTATTGTTGCTACTTTAATTTTTTCTCGTAAAAATATATCATTAACCAATTAATTATATTTTTAATTATTTTAAACAATGTAATATTAACCCTTCGCGATTAAAGAATTGGATACTAGCCTAGTAGCACACTTTCACTAACAACAAGATTTTATTAAAATTAATCGAAATATATATTATAGCAACTTCTAGCTTCACATTGTTTGCATATCATTATTAATTTCAGAATGTTCGTTTACCAATTGAATGTACGTCATTGAATTCCATTAAATCATATAGAAAGTAATAATTCATTTTATAAGTCATTTTTCTTTGAAAAATAGAAACTTTAGTTTCTATTTTTACCTTAAAGATCGGAATATTAACCCCTTGAGAAAGAATTGGATAGATGCCTGAAGATGTACTTTCACCATGTATCATTATAAAGTCGCTTTACTTCTATTTCTTAAATTTTTATATTAAAAATTATTTACAATTTATGGAAATTATCATCAAAATTTAATTTGGAATCAACTTTAAAAAATATAATAAAATATAAAATATAAAATAAAATAAAATTAAAAAATATTGATTTTAAAAAAAAATAGTTTTTTTTTCGTAAAAATTAGAATTTTTTCGAAAATAAATTTATATGATGATAATTGAATCGTTTAAATAAGTTATCAATTATATTTTACTTAATTAAACCTTATCTCTAAGAGATAATAGAAAATATCCGATATAATCGATATAATGATCATGGAAAATCAATTTTAATTTACGTAAATTTATTTATAATTTAATCTATAATTTATAATTTAAAATAATTAATTATTTCTAGAATAAGAAAAATTTATTATTATAAAATTCTTAAGCAATTTGAAAGCAGAAAATTAAACATTTATTTTTATTACACGTATTGCAATTTTTTCCAAGAGAATAATTTATAATAATCAACGCAGTGCTTGTGTATTCCATCTTACATCTCTTCCTTTCACTATTCAACGATCAAGAAACTACGATTTAGCAAGTGAACTATATACAAGACATGTGTGGTTTATCGAACCATCTAATTATCATATACAGAATGCAATCATTGATCTGTTTGAATTCTTCAACAATGTATTAATTTCTTACCTCTTTTTTCATAATCCATATTTTTTTATATCAATTAAAAAAATGTTCACTTTAAAAAAATATAGATTATAAAAATTGAATGTAAGAAAAAATTGTATCAATTGTATCAATTAAAAAAAAATGAATGACAAATATATATATATATATATTTCGTGATCGTAATGTTTAAGAAAATAGCGACTTGTCTTGTTTTTAGTTCAGTTACTGTATAAAAAATACACACGTGCGATATACGATACGTTTTACCTGTGTTCCTCTTCTTTCCCCTTTTCGTTATGGTTATTTAACATAAGGAGTCGAATATCTTATGATGCAAGCACGTTGCTTTAGTAATGGAATTGCAATCCGTTATCGAGAAGACGGAGCAAATGGAAAAAATAAAATATGTGGTGTAGAGAAATCACTTCTAATAAAAATATATTTATATTTATAATTTAAAATAAAATAGCAATAAAGCTAATCAATAATTATTGAAAGATATTTTATATAATATCATAAATATAAAATAAAAGACTTTTAATAAATTAAAAAATCAGGACCAAAGAATTAAATTCTATCTAAATTATCTAAATGCAAGTTTTTCATTTAAAACAAAAATTTAAAGAAATATCATTAAAACCTGAAAAAAGTATCAATTTGTTAACATTGTTACTGATTCATATAATTTTTTATATTCAATTTTTACAATGATTCATCTATTGTTTTGTGTAATCGAATCGAATAGAATATTGATTAAAAATAAACGTTTGCGAATTTCATTTTTGATTATCAATATTTCTTCTTGTCTCTTTCCAGGTGATTGCTATTGCTACAATTGTGCTGCAGCTGGTCCTGAGTTATGGGCATCCTGTTGTCGTGAAAGCTTGCGATGCTGTTCGCATCTTGCAGCGGCATGTCGTACCTGCGACCATCCAACACTATACCCGTTTTGCTCAAAACACTTTAAAAAATGTCTTGTCGAATTGAAAAAACAAAATTAACATCCGTTCTTTACGATACGATTAATTTTCATTACAAGGACAAATATCGAATGAAACATAAGAAAATAGGACTAATAGGTTATAACAATTTCTAAGCATTGAATTAGAAATAAGAGAAAGAATATTTCAACAAAATGAAGATACATTTTAAAAACACGGTTAACAATTGTAACCATGACCAAATTTTATAATATTTTTACATAACTATAAATTAAATCCGTACAAAATGATAACACGAATGAAATTCGCGTAGGTTAAGTTAATCGACAATCGTATCTTGCATAAGTTGAAAGTTTTACGCCGAGTTTCTAAATATAGCGCTTATCTTTCGACCCGTTAAACTGGTCCCCGTTTCAATTTTTTTTGTGCTACGTTACATTACGTACCAGATAGACGCGAAACGTGAGATGCCGTGATAAATCGTACCTGAACTCATGTAAAACTCTAAAACTCGTGTAACTTTTTTTTTTTTTTTTTCTTTCGCGAAATATCGAAGAGGAAGAGGAAACAACGGTGAATTCATTGATAGAGAAGCAATAGAAAGGAAGACATATTCGATATGTCCGTAATAACAGATTAGACAATAAGATAACGTTTTTACTATGTACAGAAAAAAAAAATCAATAAAAAAGAAAAGAATAAGAACAAAAGAAGTATTAGAATTTATAATGACGAAATTCTTGAGCGTTCATAGGTCAATGTACAAACATAGTAAAAAGTTAATGTACCTCCTAAAGACTAAACGATCGCAGGCCATTAATCCGCCGCTTTTTGTATCTTAACGATTATTGAGAACATTTGAGTTATGCAGTTACTGTCCAAGCAATAGACAAAAAGTAACAGACGGTTTGACAAGTCGCACATTTACAAAATACCTTGCCAATCGAAACGTACGAAAAGTAATACAACGCTGCTTCGAGAAAATTTTTCTCTTCGACGGATATTTTTTCATTCATTTCTTTTTTTTTTTTTTTTTGTTTTTACATGTAACATTAAAAGCTGACAATTCGAGAGTACAAATAATAAATCATCACTCAAAATACAATCATTGATAAGCTTTATTTGTGTAGTCTTCAGAGTATTTAGTAATCCGTACTTTTTTAAAACTACTAAATCCTATAAATTGTGGGGGCAGAGACTTTGATCAGGTAGCCAGACTTAAATAATACAGAATAATACGAATTTGTCTTCATTTTTTCTTTTTTGTTTTTGGACGTAAAATTTTCATGTTTAAAGAATTATTTTATACATTTTTTCTTTTCATTTTCGCAATTCTTTTTAAATCGTTTACTGCATCCCCACGAAATATCGGACCTCGTTTCTTTACACAACATTTTATTTATTTTTTCTCCAAATATCTTATATAGAATGCTATTCCGCGAAATTCGAAGTTCTATATTGCTTTACCTATATATATTAAATCGAATTTTCGATTCGTTTCATTTTCTTTGCTGTTTCTTGTTCCATTTGTTTCACACTACCGCCATACGTGAAACTTCTAGCATAAGTATTGTTCATTTCTTTCATTTTAATATTCTTTTTGTAGCAAAAAAAAATTTTTGTTTCTATTTCTTTCTCGTTTTTCTCTTGTGTTTAGTATATAAAATTATAGTTTTGCAACTAAGAATGCTCTCAGTTCTTAAATCAGCACCACACAGAGGTGAAAGACAAGACTAGAAAAGAAGATAGGAAGAAACGTAGTTACTCTTTTTTTCTTTTTCGTTTTTTTCGAATTTTCGTTTTGCGTTGCTGTGAAAAAAGAATGTAATGTGATTTTTTTTTTTTAAACTTTTTCTCATTTTTGCATATTTGAATTCGTATTTAAAAGAACGTAATCAAATTATCTACGTTTCGACGAATCGTCAATAAACACTAAACACCTTGCGCGATTTCGGCAGTCATAAGAGTGATGATGCTGCGCGCGCATCTTCACTTTTCTTTCGTTTATTTTTATTCTTAATTAATATAGCGATTGATCGCGAAGCAAGGGAGGCTGGTGAAAAAACGCAAATGCTTAATACATATATAATATAATAATATAGAAATAATTGATCCTCAATATATATATATATATATATATATATATATATATATAATATATAATTAAGATACAAATGATTGCAATGGTTTTTAGGATTTGAGTTCGGTTATTTAATTTTACTGTATTAAATTTTAATTTTTTGTTTTACGGAATAAATATTATTTTTATCAGAGTAATTATCATTAATATGCAAAATCAAATTTTTTTAATATGAATAATTTAGAATTATTAAAATTAAATAACTCAACTCAAAATGTTCTAAATCTAACATGATTCTAATTAAATATTAAATGTATTTTTTTTTATCTTTTTTCTGGAATTTCCTGAAATTAAAAAGTTGAGCATATACTGATAATTGATTAATAATATTAAATTAGAATATATTTATCATGTATAATTATTGTGCGTTAAATGACCATGCACTCTCTGGCTTCACGTAATGACGATAAAATATGAATAAATCCGCTTCTTTCATTTTTATCTTTTCTTTCTTTTTTTTCTTTTTTTTTCTTTTTTTTCTTTTTTTTTCTTTTTTTTTTTACGATCAGAAGAATAATAGCGGTAGCGTCCTGGCAAAAATGACAATTGACAACGATGATATTACTTCGATTCCTTTACATAAAACACAGATCTTGATCTATTATGCGATCGACTTATTACGGTGTACATGTATATCAAGTATGAGTTCAAAATCTATCACGAAGTACAAAGAGAGATTGATTATGCTATTTTTAGTTTATTAACTTGTATATACCGAGAAATATCAAGACTACAGTTAACTATATATTTAGTGATTCGGAAATTGTGACCAAGATCGGTTGGTTAGCCAGTAATCAATGAAAAATCAGATTATTTAGAGTAGGAGTGGTAATAAGTATTGCTTGGGATGTGTGTCGGAGAGATTTTGTTTTCACTCTTTCTTTCTTTCTTTTTTTCTTTTTTTTTTTTTGTAAAGTATAGATAAGTTTTTTTTTTCATTTTGTTTTTTTTTTTTCAGAAGAAAGGATTTCATAAAAACTCGGCGTTCTGCCACTTCGTCTTTGTTTTATCCTTTGAGAAAAACTTTGGGTAAATATGACTTGTGTTAAATTCATTAAATACTTTTACATCAATGTGACACATGAAATCAGTCGCGCAATCATAAGTAACTTACTTATATCTTTGATAATCGACAGATTTTCTTTTTATCTTTCATTTTTTTTTTTTTTAACATATTCTTCAACAAGAAAATCTTATCACAAAATTCTTACAAATTATGCGCGAATGACACTCATGTCACTATCTTTTAAAAACATACTGAATACTTATTCTTTGTCCTCTTGCATGATGAAAAAAAAAAAAAGAAAAAGAATCGTTACTTTCACACCCACATTCATATCTTGCTGACTATATCAGCGACACACATTTTCTTATAAAGATCGTTTTTTCCCTTTTTTTTCTTATTGAGTTTACTTTCTTGTTCTTACTCTTTCTCTTTTTCAATTATTACAACCGCCTTAAAAATATTTCACTGTTTGAAGAAAATAAAGAGATATACACAGAGTACAGGTACCGCCGATGATTACAAAAATTATTCAAACTAGCGACAAAGATCGATAACTGTAATATATCAAGGGCCTAAGAAGATCCCATTTTTTTCAACTTTGTTGTTTTACGTCACATAGTGTTCATTTTCTCTCTCACATTCTCTTTTTTTCGCATTCTTTCTCTCTCCCCTTATTACTATTGTAAATCAACCAATTTTTTTTATAATCACGTAACACTTATTACTTAGTGCCTTATAAATGTCCACTTGGTTCTGTAGATATAATATATATAATGTAATAATTGAAGCAATTATATTCATTTATGTGCGTCCGAGTTATTATGCACTTAATCCAATTAGTTGATTGACATTCACCTATTATTCGCTTGCAATATTATTAATTTCAACATAAGATAATGTGAAAAAAGCAGATATTGTTCTTAAAGAAATCAATCTGAAATTGTTTGCTAAGCTTAAATTATGAACAGTTTTTCATTTTCTCTTTTTGAAATCACTAAGATAATTATTCATATATTATGTAACCGAAAGTTGAAGTTCTTCAAGACGATAAAACGTCTTGTAAAAAGTAAATCATCAAACCTTTCAGGTAACAATCAAAAATCACACTCACACGTCAATGCATATTCACAAAATGATGGTTAAAATATCCCATTTTCACATAATACAGGAAATATCTTGTCTATTCTTCCAAGTTTGAGCTCACTTTGTAAATACAGATGCCAATCATGCATCGATTAGTATATTATCCTAGAAATGTCACAAAGATGTAACATTCCATTGAAGATTTCCATTTAGTACGATATTGTGGAAAAAGAATATGAGTATCTTTGCTTCTCAATATTCTTAACACAGCTCTACAGTTTCATTTATTTGCGTTTAGTGGTCGATGTTTAAATGCGTTCGGTTACGTTTTCCAATTGTGTGGATGGGCTCGAGGTGGAGCCTGATTACCCTGTGCTTGAGATGCTTGTGATGGAATCATATCAAGCAGATATTGACGTTGCAAATCTGCTGCTTGTCGTTGCAATTCTGCGAGACCTTTTCCACCAGCTTGCGCCATCGCTAATTGATAAGGATATAATATCGAGGTAAATGGTGGCATCATATGAGCAGGAAGAGGTTGATGAGGTGGCAGACCTGGTACAGGATTTTTTGCTAGTTCTAAAAATGGAATCAATCACGTTTATTTTTAATAAATAATTTATTAATTTTTAATTAACAAAAAAAGTATATAATTACCTCTAAGCAACTGTTGTTGCAAAGCAGCTGCAGCAGCATGATGTGGACTGAATTTTCCACTTTCTGCTAATTTAACCAAGGGATGTTCTTGTAGCTTAGGTGCTGGTGGAGTTGGTGCTAGCGTTGGTGCTGGTGGAACTTGAGGTGGGGGGGCTGGTGGCGTTGCTACTCTTCTTGTAGGAGTAGCTGCTTTAGGAACTGGTTTAGGAGCTGGTGGATCTGGACTTGGACATGCTGCTTGTGCCAACCTTTGTTCTATTTCTTGTTCTTGTTGTAATGCTTTTACAAATGCTGTCTTTAATCTATAAATACATGTAATATATTAATTAATATAATAAAATATATCATTTAATTTTAATATATCAATAAAATATATCATCATTTTAATATATCATAAATTTTAAATTACATACCGATTAGTATGCTCTGCTTTGAGAGCTTTTTTAACATTAGTTGTTACACAATGTTCACATATAACTCTAGGATCGCGACCTGCTGGTGGTCTTTGAAAAGTTGCATGCTGCACCCGTGGACCTTCTTTTTTACCACCAGTTATAGGCTTTTCCCATTTCCATACGGGTGTGAAATCCGTTTTACATTGAGTACATTCGAAAGGTTCTGGAGGTGGTGGAATAGCAGGTTCTTTAGTGATGAAATCAACTACATGCTCCAGACCCACTAAATATATAAATTCCGTATTAGACGGATTTGGCACAAAGTGCATCTCCGGTGGTGGAGGTTTTGGAGGTGGTATTTGTAACAAAGTCTTCTCAAGTTGTTTTCTTAAAGCCAACTTAGCAGCTGCTTGACGTTGTGCAGGTGTCTGATTATCATCCCTCGGTCTTTCCTATATTTTAAAAATAAACATTATATGTATAAAAAGTATAAGATAATAAATTTGATTGTAAGTTCTCTATAAAATAAAATGTCATTGTTATAAGAAATATAAAATAGAAAATAAGGAAGGAAATGGAAGCAAATGGGTTAAATATAAAAATAAAAAAATGATATGATTATTAAGGCAAGAAAAAGTCGGCACAATATTTAATAAAGAATTAGATTGATAAGAGACTAAACATATTTGACTATAGTGGATATACCTGTTCTGAAATCACAGGTGTGCTTAAGGATGCGGTGGTTTTATTTTCTTGAGATCCAACAAGCAGCTTTGTGTTTACAAAAACACAATTATGGTTATTTACAAAGTTCACAAATAATGTAAACAAGTATTTGTAAAATATAATATACATTTGCATAAAGTTTAACACAACATCTTTTAATAATATTTATTCATAACAATTATATGTATTTAAATAAAAAAAGAAACAACATTTTATACCTTACTTACTTGATGTGCTGGTGTAGGTGTTGGATCTTTTGTGGATCTTTCAGTTCGATCTGCAGGTGCATGATAATTTGATACGTTTGATGTTGCACTAGGAGGCCTGCCCCTAGGATGAGGTGGTTGTGGTATGACCATATTAGGTGGCATTCCAGTACTAGAAGTGGAACTTCTACCAACTGTAGGTGGTAGTAACATTCCAGGTGGTGGTGCATGTAAACTACTGCTCCTGCTTGGTGCAGGTTGTCCTCTAAGCAATGGTGGTGGCGCTTTGCCTGTTCTATGACTGAAAACATATATATATTATTTCAATAATCAATCGTAGAAATCCTTTTAATTACTTTTATAGAACAAAATTTAATCAAAAACTTACCTATGAGGAGTTGGTTGTACTGTAACTGGTGGTGGTAATTTACTGGGTACTTTAGGTACAGCAGCAATATTTTCTTTTAATTGTTGAGATTGTCTTAATTTTTTCAATAATACCAATTTCATTTCCTCAGATCTAAGTTCCTCCCTTAATTTTCTAAGTGTCCTCTCTCGTTCAGCTAACTCATCTGATGATAATTCTTTTATTGGAGGCAAAGGAGGCATATCACCTAGTAAATAAAAATTTATAATTTTATTAAATATACTAAACATTATAAATCAAATATAATATGTATTATCACAATACTAAAACTATAAATAATGCTATTTTTATAATTAACCTTCATCACTGTCTGCATTTCCATTTACATAACCATTTATTCTACGTTCATCTGGAGTTTCTGCATAACTTATTTCAATTCTAGGTCTAAGATTGCGGCGTGTTTTTCTATCATCTCCAGATTTAGGAGCTAAAATGCCTCTTGCTGCATTTTGAATGTTTCGTGCTTCTGGCATATTGTTGTCCACATTAGGATTCGAAGAGAAATGAATACCTAAATCTAATGGAACTCCTACATCTGCAGAATTAACAGTGATCGAGGGAGAATTTCTCCTGCTACTGCTGCTGAAAACATATATTACTTACTTAAAAGTTGTCATGACAAATTTTATAATTTTGTAAAAAAATAATATAAAATTATATAAAATATATATCAATATATATTAATTATATATATTAATTATATATATTATATTTAATAATATAGTAATGTAAATAATGTAAGTAATGTAATGTAATAGTAATATAAATATACATTAAAAAATGAAATTTAATAATATAAAAGTTTCATTATCTTAGAAGAAAATAATCTATTTCCATATAATAATTTATAATTAATGATGAACTTATTTTTTTTTAAAACTACATATTACATATAACTATCATACAATATTTTAATACATTATTTTTTTATCTATTCATAAATACAATACATAAGAATAATTTTATATTGACATAATTCTAAATGATGTATCTTCGTATAATATAATTAATTAATTAATTTAGAATTTAAACAAAGAGGAGAAATCGAAGTTTTTTTTAATTTACCTAACACTCAAATCCACTACCGCATCCCCGTCCAAATCCATGGCTTCCATTCTTTCAAATACAGCAATTCTATAAATCATAAAATAATTGTATGAAACGCAAGTATTTATTTATAACTACGATTTAATTATTTCATTTCGATTGGATCGATTTTAACAATAACACGGCAAATATATGTATATGCTAGTAAAAAAAAAACGACAAACAAGTCAGTACGAACAGTGAGACAGCGTTTCGCAATGCCGTGATTTGAAAGCGATAGAAAAGATTCATCGAAATAAAAATAACTGTGTTACCAAAATTTCCGTTCGAACATTTCGTTCATATGCACCGAAACATCTTCCCTCTTTATTTCGAGAAGCAATCGTCTCAACTTGCGAAAGACGCAATCACAACACAGTAGCACCACCGGTAACGCGATCAACTCGCGGACTAAAACGCGCGATAAAAGATCGTGTTCGCTTGCAAAGCGATCGGCCGATATCCACGGAAGCAATGTCCTAACCTAACCTCCGTGGAATTCAAAGATGTTCAAGGAAGGATATATTTTCTTCGAGATCGTACACAAGGAAGATATTGGCGCGCTTTGCAAAGCTGCCGGCAGCACTATATGTCGCGTGCTTTTTACTTTCTTTCTTTCACAAATTTTTCGCAAGGAAGTGGTGATACAAAATCGAAGAATTGAATTTGATGCTTCGGAAGTGGCGTCTCGGCACAATGGCAGCTAAGCGTAGCGGTACAAGACTGTGGAAGGGGGAGAGGGGTGTCCTGTACCGCGAGGGGAGAGGTACGGTCGCACATTAATTATTTCTCCCCTCACTCCGCTGACGGTCTACCCCCTACCACACGAGTCAGCCACTCACCCACACGAGCGGCATCGGAACGGGCTAGAAACCAATCTCTTTCTCTTTTCCTCCGCCTCCCAACCACTGTTTCTCTTTCTCTCGTTCTCTCTCTGCGGATTTTCCCGAATTTCGTCTCCGTACTTCTCCCTTTCCCTCACTCCTCCCGCACCCTTATGCCCTACGGGAAATCGATTTTTCGACGGAGTCCCCACTGCCAGCCTTCGCGACTAGAGGGACGAAGAAGTTGCAATGTTTTTGCAACGTATTTGATATTGTCCACACATCTCGTAATTACTATTGTATCAAGAAACCAAACGCGACCTCTAGGAAATACAACTCTATTTATTTTTAATTTTTCTCATATTTAGATATATATTATATATCGAATAATTGTTTCCATCGAAAAGTTTTTTTTTTAAATTTTTTATTTTCTGCAAGCTTACTTTTAGATCGTCTTTAATGCAATTAACTAGTTCACGGAGTTTCTCTTAGATCTCCCGCCTTGCACACTTTCCAGATCACGTGACAGTATAGGATCTCTAAACTCATAAATTGATGTCAGCATTTTTCATTCATATTTTATAACTTTACTGTTTGACTAATAAAGAAGTAACATATAAAAGTAAATAATGTATGATAACATTCATATTTGTTTTTTATCAAATATACAATATAATTTTGTTCAATTTATAAGTCTCAATTTACTTGTATTTCATTATATTTTTCGCTTCAAATTTATTTATATTTTTTACAAAAATGCTAAAATTATGAAAATTTATTATGTTTTTTTGCTGCATTTTTTTTCTATTAAATTAAAATTGTACGTGAAATAAATAATATTAAAATCCATATTATATGAATTCTAAAGTCTATCTATGACAATTTTGGACTTTCTTCCTAACCTAATAGACATATATTATAATAAATTAGTAAGCCAATTTTATTATTAAATAAATTAACAAAAATAAAAAACAATAATCGTTCATATTCAAACAATTTAACAACACTAGAGCAAAATTATAAAAATAATAAGTAATAATATAATCATGTAACATTGATTGATATCAATTCAATGTTCCATATTTTATTTTCAATGTAATATAATATATTATAATATAATTTTAATATTATATCAAATTATAAATAAAAGTAGCAGAATTTATTATTCGGACAATGAGAGAAAGAAATTAAAGTCATTTGATAGTAATTAATCAAACGTACAATTGAAAATGTAGAAAATTCAAATGTGTAAACGAGCTATACATGAACGCTCATTGGCAACGTGTGACGCTAGCTCGCACAACACGGCGACACGCGACTCTTTATATTTCCGCGTGCACAACATATTTGCTACTACATTGATAATCGCACCTTCTCTGGAATGATGCACGAAGTGTTTTGACCCCCACACACGTCTATGTCTCCCACATTCAGGAAGACTCACGTACCTGAGAAGAGATCAATCAAGAGATGGTCCAAATTTGTGTAAATCGCTTTGATAAAATCAATTATACACAAAATGGACAAATAAATGGGCAGACTAGTAGATAGGCTGCAACAACCAAGCAGGCACGCTATTAGGTAGACAGTTAGGTAGGCAAAGTGGTCGGTCGCTTTCCACTCCACTTCACTTCATTCTGCGATATATTACTCTATACTATCGCTTACGTACAATGACATGGCGCACACCACATACCGCAGTCAGTATACGCATACACTTCACTTCTCTCAAGTATCCCTCCCTATCACAGGCACACTTCACTGTCTCGCGATCGTGCACGCACGATTTCCGCATGTTTTCATGAATTTTTTTCGCGTAGCATATCCATACATCGTTTACCGTGATTTTCACTTTACTTAGTTTGTATAACAACACGAAAACAATACATACAGCTCGAAGGGATGACGCGTACCAACGGTAACCGCGTAAACGATTGTCACGATCGTGAATCCCAGACACAACCTTGAGCTGCTACCTTCCGCGCAAGGAGAAAAAATTCACACCGCCTCTGCGCAAAAATTAACGAGAGTGATTCAATATGGCGGCCTTGTCCGCCGTTGATGTCTTCCCCTCCTCCATCGCTCGTTTCGCCGGGCATCGTCGCCGTCGTCACTCCCCTGCCCCTGTCTCTGTCTCTGTCTCTGCATCGGAGGTGTAACGTCGTGGGGAAAGTGAGGACGGGGTAGAGGGACGCCGACTGACCGGGAAGAGGGGGGAGGGAAGTAGACAGTGGATCTTGTCGCCCCCGTTGGCCCCCGGTATCGTTTGTCGGGAAAGCGCCGCCAGCTACGGGGCTTACCGGAAGCACCCCACGGACTTTGTAAATGCGCTACGAAAGGGGCTTGACAGTCGTCTAAACAAATCCACGTGCTTCTGCGCATTCCCTTCTCTTTCAAACTTATACCGGTAACCGCCAATCGGACAACGGCTACGACATATTGGAGGGCATTTCAAATCAAAGTAGCTTTAAATGAATTGTAACAGTTACGAAATTATCGATCTATGGGAAATTTCAGCTCGATATCGATATATTTGAAATAATATGATTAATTATTTGTAATGATATTACGTAAATACAAATTTATAAATATTTTTAGATATTAGTATCTAATTTTAGATTTAAAAATGTATTTCGTCATTGCGTTTATTTATATCACGGTAATTATATATTCTAAACTTGCAAAAAATAACAGATAGAAATATTATGAATTAAAAATTGAAATTAAAAAATATAAATAATAAAATTATTAATTATCATAAATTGAAACTTTATAAATTTTTAAAATATTTTTTAAATTACTAGCGAGAACTTTTCAAAGAAGATTTCAAAAATATTTCAGAAAAAATTATTAAAAATAAATAATAATTAATAGTAATAATATAAAATAATAGTAATAAATAGTAATAATATATCCTTTACTTTTTTCTTATCGATTGTAGATTGATGTTAATAGATAAAAACTGAATTTTATGCCATGCACAATTTATTAATCGATCGATACATTTTTAAAAATTGATTACTTAAGAAAACATTTGATTTTTATAATTGAAGATGTAAAAATCATAGACCGGTGTACAATTCTATGTTGGAGTTGAAAGAATACTGATATTTTCTTCTTCTTTACGCGACAATATTAACGATTTTGCATATTACAAATGCATATACGATTATGTAGTCTATTTACGAAAGAAAAAGACAAAGATTAACAGAAATGGACAGTCATTAACGATTGTGGACAATTACGATACAGCTGCGTTACAAATAGTTGATCTCCATCGTTCGTGACAAAATCGTTCCAATGATCATTTCTTGTTTTGTCAAATTAATTTCCAGTTATGTCACCATCATCATCGTAATAAATAGAAGAATTTTTTACGAAAAAAATCGATCTTTTTTTCTTCAAGGTATGGTCTGCATCGATTTAAATGTTGTATTTCTTCAGACCAAAAATATAAAGGAAATCCCTGTGTCACGAATGATAGGAAAAGCCTGGAAAAGATGTTGCAACTTGGTCGGAAAGACAACAGATGCAATACACGAAAATATTTACAAATACACATATTTCGCTGCAATAGACTGCAAATCTAAAAAAAAAATCATATTTTCAATTTTTATATATCGTATGCTTAATATACTATAAGCATATCCACGCAGCTATCATTGTTTTATATCATTTAAAAAGAGTTAAATAAATATACAGACAACTGACAATTCGACAAAAATCATATTCAATCTTTAAAAATATATTTAGCAAGAAAATTTTAAATCTAAAAAAAATTTTTTTTCAAAAAATAAATTTATAAATAATATATATAATTTATATTAAATCATATTTATTATTTGTTTATTATCCAGTTGCCTCAATATTTTTATGCATTTTGAAATGGTTCATTAAAATATATAAAATGAAATAAACAGACGTTGAACATATTCTTTCACAGCAAAATACATATATGCATGCAAATATATGTGTATATTTTGGTATAGTTATATATAATATACATTATATATATTAAATATCTATATATATAATATATATTGTAATCTATACAAATGAATACGTTGAAAATCTTTCGACCTTTTCGTTGTCCAATAATTCCCGCCTACTTTGTCACTGAGTTGATCGCATGAAGAGAATGTTACAAAATCAGGTACCACGTTAAATACCAACGAATATACAATCAGTTTCGTAAACCTTCTGCGGCAATGTATATACACATCGATAGCCGGAATAGGTATATATTCCGATATTAATTGCTTTCCACACTTCGTAAAACTTTCGCTTTTTTACATTACATCTGTAATTTAATTAACGCACGATGGATTCCTTTTTTTGTTTCTTTTCTATTTCACATTGCTACACAAAGTTTAATTAATAAATGAGTGTCTAAATGTGTAAAAACGAAGAAATTGGACCTTAAAAGATTGTAATTGATAAATTTCTGTCAATAATTTCCTGTACAATATCAATAATAAAATGTTGCAATGACAATCCTCTATTTAACTTATAATCCCATCAATAGTCGCGCATAAAATAAATTCGATGCACTATGGAATATCGAAAATCCTCTCGATAGATTAAGATCGTATTATGTTTTTTCCTTTTCCGCAATTCAATTAATTTGCTTTTCATGACGTTCTGTTAGATTCTATAGACTCTCTTAGTGTCGAAACGAGCGCTCTCATAACAGCAGAAACACATTCACAAATTTATCCATATGCACTGTAAACTGCACTCATTAGCGTTTAACAAGTATAGACAATGAATAACATTGAGTTTATTGAGTTCCTATGTCGAATTATTTTGCAACTAAATATTTTGACACTGAGAGAGTCAAATATTTTACTGAGATACCTGTATCTGAATATCACTTGATATTATATAAATGTTGTTAAAAAACATTTTTGTTTATAAAAAAACAATTGCAAATTGATGAAATATTAGAAATTAAATAACTCTAACAGTTTGTTCAATTTATGACGCGAGATTAATTCGGTATTCAATAGTGAGAATTCAATTGTATAAAGCATAAATAACACCTGTTGTTCAACGCATTCTCTCTATATCAACAGACTATTCGCATCACCAAGAACATAATGGAACTCCAGATTTGATCTTATATCTTATAAAATAATTAATCCAATAGACAACAAACTTCTTTATACTCTTCTTCGGATTTTAAAACGTTGTATAATAATAGATATAATAATAATGATATCGACGTTTACAGTGTCGTTCGTTCGTGGCGCTGCAAGCTTCGATTACGAGTGTAAACGCAGTCAGTTTTACAGTCAATTTGCAAAGTTAAATTCGAGTAATAACCTTGAGGATTTGAAAGAAGCGACCCTTAAGCGTCGTTCACATGTATGCATATATTTTTCCCGATAGCTTTCTCATTGTTTAATAATAAAATAACATTAAAAAACAATATGTTATAAGTATATATTAATACACAAAGATATATTTAGTACGTGGAAATTGGTTCCTTTTTAGATGGCATTTCGCAATGAATCATAAATAAGAGTAACTTTCTTCGATTTCCTTATCCCCCACTTTGAATCTCTGTTTAGATATTAGATTTTTACTGCATCAATAACAAAAAAACATTACATATTTGTTTGTTTCTTGTATTTTAAATTATTTTTTATGAATTATGTATTAATATTTCTTCAAAAAAATTGAAGAATGTCTAAATATTATTTGAATTCGATATTAAATTGTAATATTATAATATTATAATAAATTGTATTATATAATATTATAATAAACATTCGTTAGAAAACTGAATGTTTGGAAAAGAAAACGCGAAGGATACGAATATTAATTTGAAATATCAAAGAAGAAATAAGCGTGTAACATTGTATTACGCTTATCGTAATTTTTCTTACGAGATATCTGGAAGGTCTAACTGTCAAACTACGAGTTAAAATTTACGATTTGATATGGCATTAGAACGCCATTAACAATGCGGAAAAAATAATGGAATAGGTGCACTATACGTAATTCACTTGATACGCTTCATCTCGAAAACAGCAAGTTCAAACATCATTCATCCTCCTAATGCGTTCTAATATCGAGCCTGCTTTTACACGTTTCACTCGATCGAAATACTATTTAACTATATGTATATGTCGTTACTATATGTATATAAACATTAACGCCTGAACATCGAGAAAAATTAATGCACGATTGAAGAACAAATTCTCCATTCGAAGAATTATACAACTTTCTTTTCATTTTGTTGAACGTAGTTCAGAGAGAACATTTACAAAGTTAGTACACGTATCTTTTTTTTTTCTTTTTTTTCTTCTTTTTTTTTTTTTATAATAATGTATCGAATTCTATATGAGAAACTTCGAAGTGCACTAATGGATTGAAATATGTAGTATCTACAACGACTAAAAAAGTGTATATGTATAACGTGTGACAGAAGTCACATTTTTATTCGTAAAATTCATCATCGTAACATCGCGTTTTACGGTTTTTCCATTTTAATCTGAAATCATGCTGTGAAAATGTCCGATTTAACACTTTAACTGGTATGCGGTGTACCGTGGTATATAGCATACCGTGCACAATACTTTTAGAAAACTACGACGACACCGATTAACCGTAAAAGAATCGAATAATACGACATATTGTGTTGTAACTTTCAAGGAAGATTTAAACGTATATTTGTAAAAATTAAATTTATATTATCAATTAAGATAAATCCTTGTCGTAAAACGAAATGCAGATTTTTATCAGTGCGATATTGAGAATCGAATTATAACAGAGATAAAAATAAATGTTATCTTGTAATTACTAAACTATATACTATACTTTTTATTAAGAAACTCTGATGCGACAGCAAGCTTACTTGGTAAAAACGAAACCGATTCGTCATTATTTTGCATGAAAAAATGTGTATACGCGTATTGATTCGAAACAATTGCCAGAGTTTTTTCTTTCATGAAATAAAAACATCGAAACGATGAATATCAATAGAGCTACATACATATTTTTGCTGAAGAAATACGTAACACGATGCAAAGCGATAATTTGATATCCCATTGAAAAAAATTTGTGTAGCATTAGACAGTAATGACATACCAAATAAGTGTTAAATATTATCCTACGGATAAATAATCTTTTATTCCATTTTCATAGAGATATCTAACTCAAAAAAATGCTATGCAATATTTTGTTTTTGTTTCGACAATTATCAACACCGTAAACAATCCGATACTGATTTGAAAAACTAATAGAATAATCCTATTTCAGGGTCATCGTTGTTCGGCACGGGACGCGTCATAACGTTATTCTGTTCCGAAAATTTCGATTTCGTGATATAAGATTCACAATTATTCACAATATCATGATTAAATATTCTTTCCTTTTGTCTTCTTCCTCTCTCTTTTTCCGTTATTTATATATATATATATACACCCGCGTCTAAAAGAGCTTCAACGAACGACAATATTTATTTTGGGCCCGGTGACGTTTTTTATTTTTCACTTCGAAAATGTTTCTCTCTTATTTTTATTTATTTATTTATTTATTTTTTTTTTTATTCTCACAGAACATATTTTATTAGCGGATTTTCGTTCCATCTTATCTCGCAATTCGACAATAAAAAATAACTTGCCCGCGTTTTTTATTTTTCAGCCCTTAACTAACATATATGTACAAGTATCTAATGGTGTTTTGGTAAATATTCTTCTAGTTTTTTTTTTTTTTTTTTTTTTACGTATCGATTGAGGAGCGCGCGAAATTTCAGAATATCATGTTTCATGTTTCAGTTGTTGAATAGTGCGATTTCTCGACGAAATGTCAAAAATGTCAAAACGATTATTTCTTTAGTGAAATATGCAATTGGTAATAAAATGATCAACATATATAGTATATAAGCATTTCATGTAAAATTATAAACTCGCATTTTCGTGTTTATCAGTCGAATTTACTGATTTCTATATCGATATTCATCATTTATAATACGATATTGAAATGATTGCATATGAACAATTATTATCTTGTCTTTCGTGAAAGTTTTTTTTCCTGTTTAATTTTTCCATTCAACGCAAAAGCATTCCTTTTCAATTTGCATTTTCACTGTTACGTTTTATACCACCCGTCTCTTTCGATTGGAATGAATTATATTTGTGTGTGTGTGTATGTGTGTGTATGCGCGCGCGCGCGCGCGCATGTGTGTGTGTAAAGAAAAAGAAAAAAATTGCTAGTTATTATGTTTGAGAAGCGTTTTACAATCTCATAAAACAAAACGAATCAACGAATGAACTTACATCGAACCGAATATTTTCCCGTTCGCATGAATGGTTTATTCGTTATATCAGTTTCATTCTATCGTACTTAAAAACGATGTAAAATTTTTTTGTTTCCTTTAGGAACTTATAATACTATTCGTGATATACATCGTCCTGATTTTACCCTGAATTATCACGTGGGTCTGATAAAAGCAAGTCTTTCATTCTTCAATATATTTTTGTTTGATCGATAGACTTTACGTATACATTAATATATACGTATACATTTCCTTATAATTGCATTGTTTTTTCAATTGGATTTTTACAAGTTAAAAAATTTTAATAATTATTCTTTCCTTGAAATTAATCATAATGTTATATTATACATGCATACGTATACTATAATTGTAATATATGACAGACAGAAAAGTGAAATGTTATATTTGTTTAAATAACGTTCTAGAGTTTAGTAGGCATAGATTATAGAATATATTCGAGAAACTGTAAATATGAAGAAACTTGTAAGAATAATTTTTTCCACGATCGAATGAACTTCTTGTCCGGATAATAGTAGCAAGCGTTCATCAAAACCCACATGACGATCAAGTACGTTCATTTTAATTAAGGATATCACAAGACGGTACCCACTACAATAGTTAGACCGGGCTATCTCATTAAAAGACATCAATCTCCATTGATTAGTCATATATGACAAACATTTTTCGCATAGATCTTCTAAAAGCACTTCTAAACATTTTTCTTTGTAGGAATTTCATATCGCGTATCGTTTTCCTAATACACACAGTGTTCCATCTTTACTTATATTATTCTCTCCATTTTGTTTCAAATTTTTTTTTTTTTCTATTATATTTTTAACATAAGCTTGTTTTTCATTTGTTCTCTTTTTCGCCATTTTTTTCGAGCACCTTTTTCTAAGATTTTATATTTTATCACAGATGTTTTATTCTTTCGATTTCCTTTTTATTTATAGCCCACTCGGTATAACACTAGCAAGGAACACATTTGTTATTATCCCTTTTCTTGTAAATGCCATCGTGCGTTACTTCTGCTATTTTTCATATTTCTTTCCTCCCTTTCTTTTCCTAGTACGATTTTTCTTTCATTGTATCTCTCGCTAAGCCGAAATGATATTATGATCACAGCTTTCGTCTTGCCATTATGCGCAAGAAAATACGATTCACACTAAGGCCTGCCTTAGTACAAAAATATACATTCGCTTCTTAAAAAATAGATCTTAGCATTCTGTACTGGCTAGCGTTCGTTTGATATTTTACAATAGTTTGATTCTTGGCAGGCTGTCTTAATGATTAGTATTTATCGGCTATGAGAACCACCATCGAGTGAGCTTTCATTATTTTTTTTCTTTTTTCACAAGGAGCTTATCCGATCTAAACACTAGCTGGTGCACCATCCCTTTTTTTTTTTATATTATAAGACGCGCATATTCATAAACTGATATTCGCGTGACTGAATCAAAGGCGAATCAATGAGGGCCGCGACCTGAAACGGAAAGCTATGAAGTAGGAAGAAAATCGTTAGACAACAATCGAAACAAGTTATCGATAATAAGTATAATCGATGTGAACAATTATTCGTTTCGATGGAATTCATGAATCACGAACGATGCTTTCCGCTTAGTCGGGATCATCCTTGTTTTATGAATATGAGGTCAGATGTGGCGAGATGTGCGGATCGCTTAACTGTGGTTATTACCTTTCCCGGTAGGTTCAGTCTTATACTTGGTTTGTCATTTGCGTTTATATCGATATATGCGTGTAATTAGGATGTGTCCGTTTGGTTAAGCGGACCGCACGAATGCCGTTTTTTTTTTTCTACATGACTTTTTACACAGGATTCGCAGAGATGGTACGTATCACTTGATTTTTTGTTGCTATTTTCACTCACTTTTGGATAAATTCCGTTCTTTCGCATTTGAACGCATCTCATCTCTTCTGTTCTCTCTCTCATACGTTATCGTTATTTCGCAGCATCATATGTTCTTTCACACTGTTTTCTCTTACTCTCTCTCTCTCTCTTTAGACTCACACGTCGGGCATCAAACCCGCGAGTATACTGTTTATGCAGGACTTCATTTGATTTAAAAACAAAATAATAATAATAATAATAATAATAATAATAATAA